ATCTCAAATTCTATAATCAATATCACCATCTTTATACCATATATATTTTATATATATATGTTTTTCTATCATTAGAGGAAAAAAAAAGACAGGAAATAAATACCAGAATACTGCCAGTAAGTTTGTATGTCTATATGATTACAGGTTTTTTCATTTTCCAGACTTTTCTATATTTTCCATTGATCTCTAATGAGCATAACGGATTATTTTTGGCCAGGAAAGATCTTTAAACATTCTAGGACAAGCACCTGCCCATATAACATCTCCAGAGGGGAACAGATTGTGTAGAACCGCACGTTTTCATTCTCATACAGCCAGTGACCAAAGCATCTGATCACCATATGCCTGCTACCTATTCTACAAGGACTTTTCGGTGGGGAGAAGGGAATTGAGAGAAATATTTGCTGTAGGGTTATCTTTAATGCAGTGCTGGGGATTGAACCCAGGGCCTCACACATACTAGACAAGCACTCTACTACTAAGATTCATTCCTCCCAACTCGTGCTTTACATTTTTAAAATGTGCTCAGCATGGTGATACTTGCCTGTAATCCCAGCACTCTGGGAAGCTGAAGTAGGAGGATTACAAGTTTGAACTTCAGCCAATTAGTAAGACCCTGTCTCAACATAAATAAATGGCTGGAGATATGCAGCTCAGTGCAAGGCCCCAGGTTCAATTGCCGGTACCAGAAAAGGAAAAACAAATTAATCAGTGTGCTTTTAGAGAGAATTTTAAGAATTGTTTCAATTTTTAAGACTGGAACTTAAATGTACACTGTTCTAGATAACTCATTTCCTACCCCCAAACTGCTCTTTTCTGGACACCTGTCACCATCTTTTATTTTCTACAGTCTTAATATATTTGTTGGAAAGTGTCTCAGAAATTCTGTTAAAAACCGGGGATTTAGCTCAGTGCTTCCGGCGCCTGCCATGCAAGTGCAAGGTCCCGAGTTCGATCCCTGGTACCCAAAAAAAAAAGAGCAAAATCAAAATTGGTAATTATTAGAAAGTGTAATACTGCTTTGAACATATAATACTTTTGAGTAAACCCTTCAAAGTCTCAAAAATATATATTTAATGTATCCAGATATTTTAATGTGTTTTCTCACCTGTACACATGAACAGTCCTGTTTTTAATCAATAAACATAAACTTTGTTATGAATTTAATAATAAAGACTGATGACCTTTTGCTGATTTTAGACTTGAAACTGCTGAATCATAAACTTATGCAAAAATTTATATATATATGGTTTTTTAATACCAAGGATCGAACTTGGGACCTTGCACTTGCGAGGCAGGTGGTGGAACCACTGAGCTAAATCCCCGGCCCTATATTTTTCTAAGATATTCTCTATTTGTTGTTTTTTGAGACAGTCTCATTCTGTAATTCAGGCTGGCCTTGAACTCACAGTGATCCTCCTGCCTCAGCTTCCCCAGTACTAGGATTACAGGTGTGCTCCACCATGCCCAATTTAAAACAAATATTCTTTATGTGGCTGCAGGAGGTACAGTTACATAAATACAGTGCAGTGGTAAATTGCCTACCCAAACAAATGTGTTTAATGTAAAATTACCAGCCAGGGGTGGTGGCATGTGCCTGTGTTCTCAGCTACTGGGGAGGCTGAAACGGAAGTATCACCCAGCCCAGGAGTTCAAGACGAGTCTGTATATGCAGGATAAAAGGACCATCATCTGGGCTGGGGATTTAGCTCAGTGGCACTGTGCCTGCCTTGCAAGTACAAGGTCCTGAGTTCGATCCTCAGTACCAAAAAAAAAAAAGTAACATCATCTGAGCCAGGCATGGTGGTACATGCCTACAATCCAAGCACTTGCAAGGCTGAGGAAGGAAGATTGCTGCAAATTTGAGGCCAGCCTGGACTACACAGCAAGACCCTGTCTCAAAAAACAAACAGAATAACATCTGACATTTTATGGCACTAATTGTTTGCCAGGTGCTATCCAAGTGCTTCACTTAGATTAACTGTAGAATGCTATCATCATCATCATCACCCTGCTTCACAGACAAGAAACAGCTTTTTTCAAGCTAACCTTAGGGCAAAATGAGGCAGTTCCATCAGGGTCAAAAACAAGCAGATATGAGGCTACAGACCATGTTTGAAGCCCACTGCCCTGAGGAGCAGGAATTCATCCCAGGAACAGGAGGACACCGTTTCCTGGCCAACTGAAACACCCCCATCGAGAGTTAAAACTAAGTTGCCACCAGCCACAGTGCTACACACTTACAATCCCAGACTGAGGGATACTGAGGCAGGAGGATCACAAGATCAAATCTCCCCTGGGCACTTAGACCCTGACTCAAAAAGGGCTGGGCGCTGGGGATTTAGCTCAGTGGTTCCGCTGCCTGCCTAGCAAGCACAAGGTCCCGAGTTTGATCCCCGGTACCAAAAAAAAAAATCACAATGAGTTCTCATCCAGGGTAGGAAGATTACTTGAGCCCCAGAGTTTGAGGCCAGCTCAGACAAAAAAAAAGCAAAAAGCAAATCGAAAAACAATCAGAGGCTGGAGGGTGGAAGATATGGTTCCAGCCTCAGCACCCCCTTCCCCCAAAACGAATTGATGTTCAGATTCTTGTTTCAGGGACTGGGGCTGTAGCTTAGTGGTACATCACCTGTATAGCATGCACAAGGCCCTGAATCCCAGCCCCAACACCACAAAAAAAATTTTTTTTCATAGCGAGGATCGAACTCAGGACCTTGCACTTGCGAGGCAGGAGGCTGCACCACTGAGCTGAATTTCCAGTCGGACAAAAATTTTTTTTTAATTAAAAACTAGATAAAAATAAAATTTTTTAAAATGCTGTAGTTTTGTTTTTTAGGGAGATTCATGATGAACTAGTAACCTGCAAATGTTTGTTCATGTTGCCATCTACCATGGGAGCCAAAGTGATTAACAATGACCACAGGAAACTGGAAGACACTTTCTAAACAGGCAACATCATGTGCTTCAGAATTAATAGTTGTTTTAAAGCCAGGCATGGTGGCACACAGCTGTGATCCCAGCACTCAGGAGGCTGAGACAAGAGGATCACCTTGAGTTCAAGGCCAGCCTGGACTACATACCAAGACACTGTCTCAAAGAAACCAAAACAACAACAAAAAAAAGAATTAAGAGTTGTTTGAAGAAGAGCGTTCCAGGGCTGGGGGTGGACCTCAGTGATACCATGCTTGCCTAGCTTGTGCAAGACCTTAGCATCGCCAAAAGGAAGATGAATGTTCCAGAAGATAGATGATTTAAGATATTTAGTTGCGAGCCGGGGATTTAGCTCAGTGGTTTTGCCGCCTGCTGCGCAAGTGTAAGGACCCGAGTTCGATCACCAATACCAAAAAAAAAGATATTTAGTTGCCAAAAAAAAAAAGATCTTTAGTTGTAGACAGTATACATACACATTCTACAAAGAATGATTTTTTTATTTAAAGAGCTTTTAAATTAATTCCATTCATTTTGAATTTCAATTTTTCTTACACATTTAAAACAAAATAGTAGCTATTCCTGTACTAGCTTTGTTAGCAAAAAACTTTGGAGACAAGGGATGCCAGTTTTATGTCAGGAATTATCCGGAGATACTTAGATATTTTTCTACTTAGAAAACCAGATAAATTCATTCCTAACAGAGAGCTAACAATCCCTCTTTTTCCATCCAGTTTACAAAGTCTAAACAAAACCTTTGGAACTTCATTCCTTCAGAAGTGAAACATTAGGCCCCACCTGGAGGCCCATACATGCAACCTTGCTACTCACTGTAAGAAACCTTACAGCTGGGCATAGTGGTGCACGGTTGTAGTCCCAGCACTCAGGAGCCTGAGACAGGAGGATCACCATGAGTTTGAGGTCAGCCTGAACTACATAGTGAGACCCTGTCTCAGAAAATCAAAAACAAATTTTATTTTTTAAAATAACTTTTTAGCCAGGTACATGATGCACATTTGTAATCCCAGCACTCAGGAGGCTGAGGCAGGGTGATCACCATGAGTTTGAAGCCAGTGTGGGTTACACAGTGAGTTTAAGGCCAGCCTGAACTACATAGCAAGATTCTGTCTCAAAAAACCACCAAACAAAAAGAATATTTTAAAATACATAATGGTTTAATGGACAAGTGCAATTTGAAAACCCCCATTCTCAAGCACATGTGAAACATTAACAAAGATTATTATGTATTATCCCTAAAAGTACATTTCAACTATATTAGAAATAGCTAACAGGAAAAAAAAAAAACCTTCCATAGTCATTTATTTATTTGGATGTTGGAAATTGAACGGCACAGGGATGCTCTATCACTGACCTACACCCCTACCCTTTTAATTTTTTTGAGACAGGTTGTCACTAGGTTGCCCAGGCTGGCCTTGAACTTGTAATCCTCATGTCTCAGTCTCCTGAGTAGCCAAGATTATAGGCATGCACCACCATGCCTGGCTGTCCACAGCCATTTTTTTCCTTGGTTTATCAATCATAAATTTTTGTGAATTGAACCCAACAGGAAAGAAAAAGTCTTATTGTGGAAAAATTTAAAAATTTGCTTTTATAGTTATTGTTTATAAATTTTCATGACATATCTTCCTCAGTGATCATTTCACTAATTATCAGTTGAAACATTTGGAGCCAAGTTCTTCCCTCCACAGAATAATGTTAATTTGCTATTTTCAGAAATTTTATACTTTGGCATAATCACTTTTTTTGTTTTTTAAAATTTAAAACCAGGGCCAGGGATTTAGCTCAGTGGTTTTGCTGCCTGCTGCGCAAGCCCAAGGACCCAAGTTTGATCCCCGGTACCAAAAAATAAAAAATAAAAAAAATTTAAAACCAACACCACTATGATTATTACACATTACATATGTCTCAAATTATCACATTATACCCCCTACATATGTCTAATTATTATGCCAATGAAAAATTAAGAATTAAAAAGACATGAAAAACTGATACAGCAAAATAGAAATTGTGATAGGTATTTGAATTAGAACTCAAGATAATGCCAATACTTGTGGAATGTTTCAAAAGTAGTATTTGAATGTGAATTTATACCCTTCAATACACATATTGGGGGGAAAAAGGGCTGAAATTTAATGGACCATGTGTTCTGATTTATGTATTTATGTATGTATGTATTTTTGTAGTACTGGGGATCAAACCAGTACCACTGAGCTATATCCCCACCCCACTCCCCTTTGTTAAATTTTTTTTTATTCTTTACATTCATTACCATTTTGAATTCTCTGTTGTTTAATAAGAAAAAGTATTAATTTCTGTACATTTCGTACATTCATGAAGTTCTTTAGAATGAGTTTTCTGATGGCTGAAGACTAAATGGTAACTAAAGTTTTCTCTACATTTTTTATATTCCAAGATTTTGTCTCTATTATAAAATTCTTGAGTGAGGAAAGTAGGTTGGGAAAACATGGGCATATTTTTATGGTTGAAAATAAATTACCTGCAATAGCCCTCCTGTTGTTGCTCAAAATGACATTTGCATTCCAAAACATCTTTGAAAATGGGTCTCTCAGCACTATGGCTTTTAAAGTGTTCCATGATAACCCACTGGGATGATTCTGTCCCATAAATGTCTCTTTTTGAAGATAACTTCTTGGGCTCATCTCTGGATACCAAGTCTGGGCACTGTCTTCCTGTCACTTCCCCTACAACTATCCCTTCCTCCAATGAGGAGATCAGAGCTGGCTTAGAAATAGAAAGTCCAAGTGAAACCAAGTTGCTATAGTTCTCCAACATGACATCTTTGTACAAATACTTCTGTGCAGGGTTCAGGCATTCCCACTCCTCCCAAGAAACATCTACAGCCACATCTCTGAACATCACCAGCCCATGAGCCATGGTTTATTTCAGAATTGAGTGTATTAATTAGTCTTCCTCTTGATTCCACTCAAAAGAAACTCAGTCCAAAGAAGATGCTTCGGCATCCTCAAAAAAGGTTCTGATTCAAATTCTGATTTAGATTCCAGCAAAAGCCGCTGTCCAGCCCTGCCATCCGGACCTCACCTGCCTTTCACCACTAGACCTTTTCACTGAAGCTCCTACCGGAAGTCCCCTTTGTTAAATTTTGAGACAGGGTAGCCATAAGTTTCCCAGGCAGGACTCAAACTTTTAATCCTCCTGCCTCAGCCTCCCTCAGTACTGGGATACAGGCATGTGCTTAAAATGCTCTGGTTTTAAGAAATTTTAGAGTAGAAAAATCCATAATTTAAAAACATGGGGATGTAGTTCAGTAGTAGAATATCCCTGCATTGTGGAGAGAGTAAGAAGATATGAAAAATAAAACTGGCTATTGATTAAATAGAATACCAAAAAACCTGACAGATTCAATGAGCCAAAATTTGGTGATAAACGGGCACCTTTTACCAAGATGGTGCCAAAGACTGAAGGAGGCTTCTTCCCTTCCCCAAGCCAAAAGAAACCAGAGGCTTTAAAGGCCAGGAAGGCAGTGCTGAAAGGCAACCCCAGCCACAAAACGATCACAGTCGCCCATCTTCCAGCAGTCTAGGATATATATATCCTTCTAACCATTTTAAAAATTGAGTTAGTGCTTGAGAATCTTACCACAAAGAAAACACCAGGGACCAGGCATGATGGTGTACACCTATAATCCCAGCACTTGGAAGGCTGAGGCAGGAGGCCAGTTTTGGCTGAGGCCAAGGCTTTGAGGCCATCTTGGGCTACCTAGTGAGCTCAAGGTTAGCTTGAACTATACAGTGAGACTCTGTCTGAAAAAAAAAAAAAAGGATTTTACAAAAGAATTTACCAACTTTGCAAAGGATACTCCCACCTGTGTATATGAAAATAGAAAATGAAGTCATTTTTACCTTGTAACTTATATCAGGCTAATAATATAAGAAGGGAAAATTGTAAGTTGGACTCTGGCATGAATACATGCCAAATTCCTAAACTGAATATTGGGAAGCCATCAAATCATGTATAAAATATTTGATTTACCCTTACCAAATAGAGTTTACTCTAGAAATGTAAGTTTCATCCTATAGTAATAAGAAAATTCACCACATTAACATGTTTAAGGGAGAAAAATGTTAATATAAATATTTCAAATAAACAGAAAACCCCAGTGATAAAATTTAGCATCTGTTCACTTATACTTGAAGCAATGTAAGAAAAAATTTCCTCACCCTGATAAAAACTATCTGGTAGATACCTACAGCAGATATTAGACTTGATGGGAAAATGAATATTCCTTTTAAGATGAGGATTTTGTGGCATGGCATGGTGGCACACTCCTATAATCTCAGCATTTGGAGAGGCCAAAACAGGAGGATTGCAAGTTTTGAGCTCAGCGTGGGCAATTCTTTAGCAAGGTTCTATCTCAAAATAAAAAATAAAATAGGGGGGCCAGGGATTTAGCTCAGTGGTTCTGCCACTTGCCTCGCAAGTGCAAGGTCCCGAGTTCGATCCCTGGTACCAAATAAATAAATAAATAAATAAGGGCTAGGAATGTAGCTCAATGCGAAGGCCCTGGGTTCAGTTAAAAAAAAATTGCACTAGAGTTCTAGCTAGCCCAAAACAAATAACAGTACAGAACTAAAACTCATTTATCACATGACATGATTGTCTACATAGAAAGCCAAAAGACACAAATCCTTAGAATTAATAAGACTAAGATTGTTGAGTATGAGCATTCAACAACCAATTGCATTTCTAAATAAAATAAATTATAAATCTTATCTATTTATTTATTTAGTTTTTTGAGACAGGATCTTGCTAAGCAGTTCAGGCTGGTCTTGAACTCATTATGTAGCTCAGGCTGATCTCAAACTCTCAGTAATTTTCTGTGTCAGCCTTCCAAATTCTGGGATTATGGGCATGGGCCACCATGCCTGGCTGGAAACCTGATTTAAAAGTAATGTATAAAAGCAATAAAATTTATAAGATATCCAAGAGTAAATATAAGATAAAATGTTCTATATCTTTATAAAACATTTGTTTAAAGAGATCTTAAAACAGGATTAAATGCAGATATAACATATGCATGAAAAAGAATTCTCATTATACTAAAACGTTAGTTCCCAAATTTTCCTATGGACTCCTACTAAAGCCCTTAAAGTTTTTTATGGAATTTGACATGCTGGTTATAAATTTATATAGAAGAGAAAAGGCTCAAGAAAAGCCAAGATATTCATAAAGAACAAGAAGCACTTTGTTCTGTGAGATATCAAAATATAGCATAAAGGGGGTGAGAGTAGTGTAGCTGAGCCCACCCGGCTAGCCTTGTTCTGGAACCTAGACCCACTACTTCGTTCTCCCTCACCTGGGGTGAACGAAGATAAATGACAAAGAGACACGACAGGGAGTTAGTTTAACCTGCGGGCAGCCATAGGGCTCTTGCCTCTTGGTAGGCGAGGAGCCCCTAGCATCTGGCTCATCTTCCCTTTATTCACCCAAACACAGGCACAAGCATCTGCTTTCCAATATCCATTAGTACATGCTCTGGTAAACAACTTAACCTCACCTGTCTTTCAGTTTTCCCTAGAACCTGCTATATGCAGTCATCCCTGAGTACAGCCTCTCTCCTTTGTGCTCACAGAGGAAGCCAATAGGCCTCAATTCTCCTCTGGTCTCTGACAGGGTAACTCAGTAGTAGAGTTTGTGCTTAGATGGACAAGGTTCTAGGTTCA